AAACAAAACAAAACAAAACAGAATAATTCAAAGCCAGAACACAGCAAAACCCACACACACACAGGCAGAGAGCAACGCTTGCGCCTCTCTCACGCTCCGCTTCTCCCTCGCTCTTTCGCAAGCTGAACAGCTGACTTTTGTTTACGCGCCATAGTAAATTTTATGAATGAAGTTGTTTGCTCTTTGTCAGAATGTGTGTGCTTTTGTATGGATRTGTGCGACTGTGTGTGTGTGTGCTGAGAGAGTCGCTCAGTTGCCTGCTGTGTGCGTGTGAGTTTACGTTTGTATTCGTGTGTGGGCGAGTGTGCGTGTTGACCTTTAGCAAATGTATATTACATATACATATATATATATATCTATATTGCATTTAGAATTCGTATAACAAGGTCAGTTGACGTCGCCGCTAAAAGTGTAGCARCAACAACAACAACAACCACAAGAGCAACGCGAGCAGCAAAATTAATCAATAGGCTGAACGCAGCTTGACTTCAATTTGCTGGACGATGGATACAAGTCTGTCCAGCAAATCAGCAGCTTCTTTACCCGCATCATGGATTGTCACCCGCTTCACCAAGGACATGTAGTTGTCGCCGCTGCTGCTGCCCGCGCTGCACGAGATTCGGCCGATGCTGAACTTTGTTAAATTCTTCGATCGAAACAGTTTGCGCAAACACTCGATGTCCTCCACATATTGATTCGCTGCTGTTGTGCCGGCCTGATCACTGACTCCATTCGATGCACCTGCCGCCATGGCAGTCGTTGTCATTCTGCCCGCAGCCCAAACGCAACTGATTGAAAGTCTGAAGTGGAGCTGAAGCTGAATTGTGCGCCCAATTTATTGGTTTGTGCAACTGCAGCATTTTAGAGACATTGCACCACTGGCATGAATTTCCGAATTGGGCCAGGTCACTTGATCGCGGCTCATATGTTTATTGTCTTGTATTATGATTCTTTATATTTATTTTTGCCTATGCCATTGATTTTTGCTAATTTATGTGCACTAATTGAAATTTCTGTTTCAGTTTCAGTTGCAGTTTTATTCTGACTTTCGCACAGACGTGCAAATGCGCTGAAGTAAACCGACTGTCGGACGGCACARCGACAACTGAACCACAACGTCAGAACGATTTTCCACTGCATTAAGAATGCACTCAGCAACACCCAGACACACGCACGCACACACACACGGACGCACAACTCACAAGTGCATTTGCACTAATAGAGAGCGAGCGAGCGAGCGAGCTATTGCAAAGTTTCTCTTTAATCCTCTCTCTCGCTCGCTCTTTCTATTTCTCTTTCCTGCAGTTCATTTGGAAGCCGGCAGGCAAAGGAGGCAAACRCCTCGCTCGCTCTCTTACTGTAGTTCGCTGTCGCCGTTGCAGTTGTTGTTGTTCGGGCTGTTACCGTTCAAGGTGGGGTCAGGCGAACTTTCGCTCATTTCACGAGTGTACACTGTGCGTATGCTTAACCTCAGCAATGGCAAAGCGGAT